ATTCTGTTACGAAGCAACTAGATGTTGTTACTCTCCCAAAATTCTCTGGAGTTATCCTTTCTGCTGCAGCTGATGAAATAGAGGGAGAAACTTTGTCATTCTTCCTTAAGAATTTTGTGCGCGGTTACTCGTGATGCCGTGGGGAAAAAATGCTTTGTTAGAGTCTTTTCGCCAATTAGCAGCCCTCCTCAAAGGCTTTTCACCTCTTGAAAAACTTGTTACGCCTCCAAAGGATGTACGTTCTGTCTGTTTTTGCTCTTGAAAGTGTCGGGCGTTTGAATTGTTCCGATAGGTACAGCTGCTTATCACAATGCGCATGCTTTGGTGAGTGACCTTATGTTCGGTTCTTACTTTTCGAGTAAAGATTCAACAGTAGATGCTTTTCTGTCTTAAGGTGCAGCATGTGATCTGTAAGAACTTACTGTTGGGTATTTTTCACAAAAGACGTCGTCTGTAGAATCCTAGTTGTATGTCTTTTTGGCTCGATTTGCACCAGCTCGTGAGTCCCACTAGTAATGCATCGGCTAAAGATCGTTTTACCTGAAACATTTCTTTAGTATATGCGCGTTGCAGCACCCGTTGCAACCGTGACAGCTTAACTTATAAACCAGCATAGAATTAGGGCTGTATTTACTCGCAGTGTATGCATTTCTTTTCGCCTATGCACTAGTGTACAAAACGGCATATCACGGGATTTTATTTCAGTGCGCGTCATTCTTTAGACGCCTAATGCAAAAGGAAGTGACCCAGTCGGGCAGTATACAAATGTGTGCCAAATATCGAATATCAGCAACACAGGAATTAAACACAAACTCGCTACTGAAGTGTTTACACTGTGGCGTAATCAACCAGTGAAAAGCGCTGCTTTGCGCCAACAGCTGGTAAGCCCGTCCACGAAAAACGACCTCGTGACGTAGTTCAGAAGGATAAGCTTGAAGTAGTGCAGCGTGTTTTTGCGAGACAGATTACTCTAGAGTTATTGCCGCTATTCTTTTGAAATTTGTGTATCTAGCAAAGCATGCCAGGATATTGGATGATGCGGGCGTACTGCGCAACAAAATGTCAGCAGATCGTGAATTCCGACACATTCCTCTTTTTACCTTGATTTGGAAGAAACTGTTCACGCCACTGTAGGCTCTACGAACTTTGATTGCGGGTATGAGGAAACGTCGTTGGATCGGAGACGTTTCCACTTTCGTTATCCTTGCGTGACTCCGTGTTTGCTTATTTTGCTCTAGCAGTTGCCAAGTATCTAATGTTTCCTTACTCGCAGTACGACGGGTTGTAACAGTTGAGTGCCTCACCATCTAATAAGTGACACGTAAGTTAGATAGGACTGTGGGTTTTGCTATAATCCATTAAATATAGCGTAACCTCAGCCGAGGTTGCAAACATCTTTTATGAAACTAGCACGAAAAGAAATCCCTCTTAAGCTTGACTTTCCGGAACAAGTTGGGGAAGACGCAAAGGTGGGAGCATCAGCGTGCCACTACCCTTAGTGTCAACGTACTCCTTCCTTGCTAAGATCGGCCCGCCGTTTTGTCTTGACGTGCCCTGCGTGGTCTGGAGACTTCACGAGGTGACTTTGAGTTGCTCAGAATATGGATGTTACCAGACACCCATAATTAGGACCTCTCCACAGATAGTGGGTGCAGCATTTGTTCGTACTGCCAGCTTCAAGGGGCATCTGGTGCCGCTCTTCGCTTTCAGAAAAACTGTCAGCCTGCTGAAACATTTGTGGCTCGTCATTTTAGAAGTCTAATTTGCCGACGCATGCTGGATGTTCGATGGTGCAGGTGTAGTGCGCAACAAAATATCAGCAGGTCGTGACTCGTTTTCTCTTACCCAGCCTGTTGAAAGCAATCGTTCACACCAACGAGCAGCTTCGCTTTACTCCCGCAATTCTTTTGGCGTGGATGCATGCAGCAAGTAGCTGTTCAATTTGAGAAGCCGGAGTCCGAGTCGGCACGGAGCTGTTTCTAACGAGAGGAAAGAATCGCGTGCATCAAGGAGCGTCGTCGGATCGGAGACTTTTTCCACGTTCCCTGTGCTGGCACTGTGTTTGCTTATTTTGGTCTTGAAATTGCGAAGTAGCTAATGTTTCTTGCTTCCCAGTACGAAGTGTTGTTACAGTTGTGTGCCCTACCATCTACGATACGCACAGACGTCCTTAATTTGTACCTTTCCACAGAGAGTGCGTACAGCAGTTGTTCATACTACCAGCTTCAATGCATCTCTTTGTTTTCAGGGATGCCATCATCCTGCTAGAAAATTTACGGCGGCTCATTGTAACGGACACACGCATTTAGTATTGTTTTGGACCTACATTGATTTATCCAGGGTCAAAGTCTCGTTGCGTTGCTTCCGTACTCGTCGAAGCACACTAGCACGCAGAGACAAACTGCAACAGCCTGTCTCAGTGGCGGGAAATGACTCAGATGATTTGAGGCAGTATGTGCGTTTCTGGACAATGTGGTGGCGACAGTGGCTGTCTTCAATGTGCGGTCGCTGCGTAGTGCAAATTTGGCAGCTCTGGGCACACTTGTTTTGACTGCAAGGCAATTTTATCTCCAAATATTGAGCTTTTTGATGACTCCCAATGTGTGAAGTGTCTCTTGTTCATACTACCAGCTTCAGTGCATCTCTTTTGTTTTCAGGAATGCCACCATCCTGATAGAAACTTTTTGGCGGCTCACTGTAACTGACAGACGCATTTAGTATTGTTTTGGACCTACATTGATTTATCCAGGGTCAAAGTCTCGTTGCGTTGCTTCCGTACTCGTCGAAGCACACTAGCACGCAGAGACAAACTGCAACAGCCTGTCTCAGTGGCGGGAAATGACTCAGATGATTTGAGGCAGTATGTGCGTTTCTGGACAATGTGGTGGCGACAGTGGCTGTCTTCAATGTGCGGTCGCTGCGTAGTGCAAATTTGGCAGCTCTGGGCACACTTGCTTTGACTGCAAGGCAAGTTTACCTCCAAATATTGAGCTTTTTGATGACTGCCTATGTGTGAAGTGTCGCTTGTTCATACTACTAGCTTCAGTGCATATCTTTGTTTTCAGGAATGCCACCATCCTGATAGAAACTTTTTGGCGGCTCACTGTAACTGACAGACGCATTTAGTATTGTTTTGGACCTACATTGATTTATCCAGGGTCAAAGTCTCGTTGGGTTGCTTCCGTACTCGTCGAAGCACACTAGCACGCAAAGACAAACTGCAACAGCCTCTCTCAGTGGCGGGAAATGACTCAGATGATTTGAGGCAGAAAGTGCGTTTCGCGACGATGTGGTGACGACAGTGGCTGCCTTCAATGTGCGGTCTCTGCATAGTGCAAATTTGGCAGCTCTGGGCACACTTGCTTTGACTGCAAGGCAATTTCACCTCCAAATATTGAGCTTTCTAGTAATTGCTTATGTGTCAAGTGTCATTTGTTCATACTACCAGCGTCAGTGCATCTCTTCGTTTCCAGGGATGCCATCATCCTGATGGGAGATTTACGGCGGCTCATTGTAACTGGCACACGCAATTAGTATTGTTTTTGACCTGCATTGATTTATTCAGGGTCTACATCTCGTTGCGTTGCTTCCGTTCACCTTGAAGCACACCAGCAGGCAGGGGCAAACCGCAGCAGCCTCTCTCAGCGGCAGTAAATGACTCAGATGATTTGACGCAGTAGGTGCGTTTCGGGACGATGTGGTGGCGACAGTTGGTTGCTTTCAAAGTGCGGTCTCCGCATAGATCAAATTTGGCAGCTCTGGGCACACTTGCTTTGACTGCCAGGCGACGTTGCCTCCAAATATTGAGTTTTCTGACGACTGCTTACGTGTGCCTAGTGCGTAACAGAATGTCCACAGATCGTGGATGCCGGCCCCTTTCAAGTAGCTGCGTGATCATAAAAGATAGCCGCAGTGCAATTCGAAACCTCTTTCTAATGAGAGTAAAGGATTCTGGTGATTAAGAAGGAAGCCACGTCAGATCGGAATGTCTACCCATGTGTGCTATTCTGTCCTTGTGTGACGTCGTCTTTGCTAAGCAACGATGGAAATCCCGAGTTCAATAAAAGTGTTATTTATGCATGTGCTGGGGACCGATGCAGCGATTTGTTGTGTTGGTTGCTCAAAAAGCTGGTGTGGGTCCCCTGAGAGACAGTCAACCCAAAGATGGGGTGGCAAGGCTCATGAAGCGTGCTCGTGTGCTACAGGAATGTGCAGCTGATATATCCAGATTTGTAGAAGTACCCATAAACTAATTTATACTATATAGCAACGCATGAGGGCCTTTAGTTTGGCCAAACAAGTGAACTTGCGTTGCTTTGATGTTTTCGTGATGCTTTCTCTCCTGCAGCCAGAACAAATAAGGCGAGTGACATGATAACCACATAGTGAAAAGCGTACCGAATACGGGACACCAAAACGTATGAGAGACAGTTTTGCTTTTACGTTCGCGGGGAGAGAGAAACAATTTCAGCTGCATGATATATCAGGAAGTAATATTTTTGCAGTTGATAACTCCCAGCGCATACGACAAGTATACACCTTCAGGGAAACGATTTACTGAGATTCGTTACTATGTTGTAACGAAACTGGCACGGAACTTTCGAGCACCGCCAGCTGCTGTCTCTGTTGCGGTCGGCTTCCGTGTGCAAGTTGCTGCTGCTGCTGTTGTCGCCCCTCCCCTTGCTGCCGCTGTTGCTGCTGCTACCGCGTTTCAAACAGCTGCTGAGGTTTGCGCTGCGGTGTAGAGATGCAGCAGAGGGCCCAGCAGTGGTCAGCCTTTGAGGGCCGCGCCGGCAGCAGCGCGAGCTGCTGCATGCTACTGCTGCAGCTGCAGCTGGAGGGACCTCTTCTGCCTCGCATGAGCAGCGTGGGTTCCTTTTTTCTCTAGCGGAGGAGCAGAAACCCCCAAACCCAAAGAAGGGCCTCCCAGCCGAAGGCTCTAAATTGAGTCGGTTTTGTTTTGCTTCCTTTTTGAAGGCCCCTACGTTGCAGAGAGTTAGCTATGCCTCTGGGGGAGTATGCGAGGGATGGGAAGTGGTCGCCGGCCCGCCGCAGTCACGAGGGGTTCCAGCCCGGGGGCCCTCCTGGGGGTCCGTCCCCCCGGCGGGCCACTCCCCAGGGCGCTGCGGCTTGCGCAGCGCTACACGCTTTGCTACTGTACGCAGGAGGCCTACAAAGCTAGCCAGCATGCCGAAGTCAGAGGTCCTGATACACAAATCCCACACACAAGCAAAACGGGGAATGTCATGTCGCGAGGCTGCAACATTACAATGGAAGCTGCAGCAGCAGCTGCAGCAGCAGCAGTAGAAGTGGTAGCAGCAGCAGCAGCAGGCAGCACAAACAGTACGCGAAACAAATGCGGCACGCTAGGCCGTTGAACAGGACCATCGCGAAATATCAACAGTAACGCCGCCTGCAGCAGCAGCGGCAGCAGCAGGGGCGGTGCCAAAGCAGTTACAGGCACTAAAGCAATAGCAGCAGCATCCCCACCAGATACACCTTTAAGGCAACAGCAGCAACAAAAGCAGCAATTCGCTTGATCGCCGCTTCACCCCCGCAGCCGCAGCATCAGCAGCAGCAGGGCATGACCCACTACGTTTGTGATAAAGATGGCGTTGCTGTTGATTTGCATGCCGTAGACGAGAGAAACAGCACAGGAGACAGCCTGAACTGCGAAAACTACAGCAGGAAGGCAGGTGGTGTGTATTGAGGTGCGTCTCTGAGGGCCTTTTTTGCTGCTGCTCCGGGGGAAGAAACAGCAGCACAGAAGCAAAAGGAACAACAACATGCAGCACTTCTGATTGACCCCGCGGCTTTATCTGCGGCAGCGATGCCACAGACAGCAGCAAACAGAACAAGGTGGCGAGGGCCCACAGCAGCCGCTCGTTGCCCAGCAGTATCTCCCAGCGCCGCTTTCTTGCTGTTGCTGCTGCGTCGAAGCAGTGCGGTGCTGCTTCTTCTGTATCCAGGCTTGGTGCAGCTTCCGCCAAGCGGCTCTGTGCTGCCTGCGGGTCCAAAAGATCAGAGCCATAAGAAGCCATCCAGGGAGCGTCATGCCCGCCACTGCGGGTCTTGGGGCCCCTCTCCCTTTGGGTATCCCCCGCGATGCTCCCTGGGGCACTATTCCACACTTGCTGGCTGCGGCTCCCCTTTGCTGCAGCACTGTCCGGCGTGCCCGCGCCTGGCGGCTCCAGGGGGGCCAGGGTCCCATCGGGGCCTCCGGAGCCCCAAGGCGGAAGACAATAGAGGAGGGGAGGGGCCTGTAGGGACTGCTGCCACAATAAAAAGCTCCCTGAGCTACAATTGGGGCCGTTGAATGTGCCCGACAGATCTGGTTGTACCCCATGCCTACTTCGTAGCTCAGGAGTGCTAGTCCGTGGTTTCTATTCAAAGTTACTATTTTTCGTTACAGCAAAAACGTGAAACTACGTGGTATTCATCACTTTGCATGTGCTGCCTTGTTTCGTTTAACCGGGCACACACTACATTTTAGGGACACTCGTAACTGCTTCGCAAATAGGCAGTTCTTAGGCGTTTGCTAGGTTGTTTGTTTGTGGTTTGCGTTCACTTTGAACAAAAGGAGAATGTCCGGATGCAGTGGACCCCCAAACTTTTCGCCGTGATCGTCCGCACATTTTTCTGCGCTACCTTCATGTCGCAAATATGAACAAAGCTACTTTTGATTTTACTATGGAGACCGTGTAGCAACGAGTCAGCGCTAACGAACAAACAATCAAGCCTTTTCTTGCAAAAAAGCATAACTGTTCCCACTAATCAGTTGCAAAAACTGATGAAGTGCGCGTATATATCGTGCCGCCGTTCAGTTGCTCGTTCCCCCCTCAAACACTCTATCCTAAACCGTACGCTGTGGACTGCAAGCATTGTATGCGAGATTCTACGTTCTTATTCACTTTGGACGGTAAATAGGAGCATAGAAAAGACGACTTATTGGCTACGCAATATTACCGCAGAGTAATCGTGGGGAGACCGGATAATTATTCAAGCAGCTTCCTCGTTGATACATGGACTATTCCGTCATTTTTACGTTTGAAGTTGTTTGCAGCAAGTGAGCGTCTTGTGGGTATGTGGCCCTGCCATTTCCATACTGCGACAACATCCTAAAGGGACTTTTTTAACAATCGCCATAAAAAAGCATTATGGTTTTACGGCTTTCGGCAAAGGATGTTTAGGCTTTAGATTCAGTAAGGTTTAGGTTCTAGGGTTTAGCCTTTAGGCTATAGAGTGCAGTCTTATGAGGTATGCAGCGTACAGTTACGGGTTCATGGCTTACGGAATACGATTTAGAGCTTTTAGCTTGTGGTTTACGGAATTGAGTTCGCAGTTTATGGTTTAGGATTTGGCGTTAGGGTTTAAACTTTGGGGTTTAGGGCTTAGGATTTTATGATTTAGGGTCTAGGGTTTACGGTTAAGGATTTAGAGTTTAGGGTTTAGGGTTTTAGGGTTTTAGGGTTTTAGGGTTCAGGATTTAAGTTTTATGTTGGGCGTAATAGTCGCGCACGGCGCTGTAGCACGCATCGAGCCGCGGCCACGAGGCGGTGGGATCGCTGCTACTAGACAAAGGGGCAAGTTTTCGCCAGGGAAACATGTGGGGTTTTGCAACGCTGCACGAACCTGCCGTTCGCTGCAAATCGTGCAGCGCCTCTCATCGATGGGGGCGCCAGAGTCGGCCTCCCAAACAACATGCGCTGCTCCTGTTGCTCCAGCTGCTGCTGCTGCTGCTGCTGCTTCTGATGATGATGATGACGATGATGATGATGATGCGGCTGCTGCACCAGGTCGTCCGAGTCCTGCTGCTGCTGCTGATGATGATGGTGATGCTGTTGATGATGATTCTCGTGCGCCTGTGGCTGCTTCCGCTGGTGTTGATGATGATGCCCGTGCTGCTGCTGCTGCTGTTGTTGGTGATGATGTTGATGATATTAGGGCTGCTGCTGCTATGATCGGTGGCGCCAATATTCGGTCTCCTGGTGCTGCTGCTACTTTTATTGCTGCTGCTGCTGCTGCTGATGATCGTGCTGCTGTTGCTGCTGCTGCTGTGGCGCTGAGTTGCGTGAAACTTGATTGCACCTTTGACACTTCGCTCATCGACAGAGAGCGACGTGGCAAGCCCTAAACCTCAAACCCCAGAACCCTAGCGCTTTTGGCTTCTAATACCGCAGTAAGCATGCGGCTACGGTTAGTCATTTAGCTTTTTACTGCGATTAATTATAATATTTTATTCTTTTGATACTTTGCTTCTTCGCCGCAATGCTTCTTCAAACCTTACTGCGTATGTATCTGCTGGGTCCTAGGGTTTAGGGTTTAGGGTTTACAGTTTTGTCTGCAGGCGGGAGACACTCTCTCATTTTTGACACTTAAAGCTAGCCGCACAGAGGTAAGGGCTGTTGCTGCTTTTTAAACATACTTAAAATATTCCAAAAGAAATTGAATAAATGCAATAAAATCATTTTAATAGTTGGTTTTATTAATTTTTGCTGCGTCAGCAGCAAAAGTAAGAAATATACAAATAAAGGAAATCATGCAGGCTAGAGCAGGAGCAGCTGCTGCTGCAGCAGGAGTAGCTGCTGCTGCTGCAGGAACAGCTGTTGCGGCAGCAGCGGCAATAAGTTCCGTTGGAACTGTTGCAGCTACTGCAAGGGACCTGCAAAGCCCGAAGCCCAACCCTGAGTGATCAACCCTGAGTGCTGGCCTCTGTCCTTTAAGGAAGAAGCGAGAGCCAGAGCAGCGCTGCACTTGAAGGGATAGTACTTAGGGTTTAGAATTTAGGTTTTAGGGTTTAGGACTGGAGATGCGTGCATGCGGTGGCGGGGCTGAGCTGTACTTCCCACAGCTTGCTGCCATTTTGCTTTATAGAGGCTCCTACGTATGCAAATTTTAGATGCCAGCAGCAATAGCAGCAGCTGCTGCTGCTACTGCAGCGGCTAAGAAACGAAAGCAGCGGCAACGCCAAGGCAGGCACCACGGAAGCAAAGCGCAGCAGCAGCAACGGCAGCTGCAGCCGCAGCAGCAGCAGCAGCAGGGACGCTGAATCAAAAAAGTGAGGAAGAATAGCAGAATGAAGCAAAAGATGAAGCATCCAGTGAAACTGAAGGAAGTTCTCTCGACTTTGGAGGAACTGAGGCAAATTCAGATTTTCATCTAGTAATTTTCTTTTTGTATTATTGTTTATTAGTCGTTTTTTAACATTAAGGGCTCATAGTTTACAATATATTAGTTATTTGTTATTTATTTATTATTATTCACTGCTGGTTGTTATTTGTTATTCCTCTTATTTATCTATGTTTTTCTGCTGCTTCTTCTGCTTCTCTGCTCCGCCGTTACCTTCAGAATTCAATCCCCAAGCCCTTAACCCTAAACCCTAAACACTAAGGCCTTAGCTCTTAGCCGTAAACCCTAAAACCGGGGAGCGTTTGCTAATTTTTCTGGAGGCAACTTACAGGCCCCTCATAGCAACGCGCACAATGCAAACCCTAGAACCTAAACCCCAAACCCTAAACCCTAAAACCCCAAGCTTTTGATTCCTTTCGACTTGCTTTTTTGTTTTTGCAGGCAGCTCTTACAATGCAGTTTCCCCGCAATTATCGAGTCGACGGCTCACTTTGGCGTCTTTGCATGAATTAAATGAGAGTAAAACACTTAAAATGAAACAAAACAAGCAATAATAATAATAATAACAATACTAATAATAATAGTACTGATAGTAATAACAATGATAATGGGAATAGCCTTGGGACTCGGTCTGCTTGGGGTGGTCTGAAACGCGAATATGCTCCCACTGCTTTCCGCTGAGGTGAAAGCGAGAAGGGTTTAGGGTTTAGTGTTTAGGGTTTAAAGTTTGAAGACTTCTTTGTTCATTTCTCATTGACTCTTTTTATTGTGAGTGACTTTGTATTCATGCATCCCTGCATGCCCCCATTCCGTATAAATATGTATAGATATATATATATATATATATATATATATATATATATATATATATATATACATATATAATA